ATGGAAGGACATTAGAATCAGTTAATAGAATAGAATTTCCCTTAATTTTTTAAATTATAAAATGAATTTTGGAAAGTTGATTAAAAGTATTGAAAATTTAATTCTTCCACGTTTCTTCAAAAACTTTATTTTTTGACATAAATTCACTGAGAGTTATAGCTTGCCATTAAATTCTCTCAGGCATATCCAACATCCTTCCACTGACCCCCAAGAGACCTAATTAAAAGCCCAGCTATAAGAGCTGCTGGCCTTTGCAGCAGGAACAATACACATTTCTAAAAGGACATGGTTGTCAAATCTCTAGAACTACCAGTTCCTTGGTCCAAAATTCAGATTGATATTTAGTTAATAAAGCTAATCAATGTTTTCATCTACCCATAAGGAAAACACAAAGGCTCTTAGAAACAGCTGTGGCAAGAAAGTAGGGCAATTTCCAATTTCCAAGTTGGAAACAGGAGCCACTTTATTTTGTAAAATTTAAGAAACATAGTTTGTATTGTTTTCTATATGCCAGCGTTCAATAACTCATGCATCTACTTTATAGCATTATTATAAACAACCCGTGTTGTCAGGATGTAAGGAACGCTGTTCCTTGGACCTTATTTAAGCAGTCTCTTTCATTCTGTTAGTTTAAAATAGGCAGAGGTGCACCACTGAACACATAATTGTGTTTTTGAAACCACCTCGCTTTTCCAAGGGGTCAGAAACCACATCACTTTTTCTTTTTATTATTGATGCCAACCTTAGCTTTTTATTCCTCTGCACAACTCCAAAGCTCAGTAGTGTCAAAATGAGTGTCATTTATGATCAGCGTGTCGCCAGGATCAAAGGATTCTTCTGCAAAAGACACTGAAAGGTGTACTACACCTATATTCCCCTTACTTACCAGCATCACATGATATAATTTTTAATTTTTTCTTTCTGACTCACACAAATACTTCATGCCTCCTACCCAATCATTTGAAAAAATCAAGAGACAGCATGAGTCAGATTTTTAAGTATTTTTATTTCCCTCTAGTACATGCTTGATATTTAAGTACCATTTGCACTTCAACCAATTGCAAAAAATAAACCCAAAGATCTGCTGTGCCAACGGACACTGCACAGGACTTTCATCAGTTAGTTCACTTATTTCAAAATGTTGCTAACCCTCCAGATGGTTTATTTTAGATATGGACCCTGCCTGTGGTAAATGGACGTAAGGGGGCGATTAAATGAATGACCCCAAAAGGAGTACAATTTACAGTGTGTTTCCATGGTAACAGAATGTCACAAATAAAAATAAATCCAGGTTGCAAAATTACCCAAAATGTGGTTCTAAAGGCAGTCTCTTCAGTTTAGCATGTTTGGGAGGCTGACCTATTCAGTCACGTATGTTTTAAGTCTCTGGTCTGCTTCTTTGTATCTCTTAGGACAATGAAAAAGGAGAAGAGTATTGAATGAGATTGAAAAGGTTGAAATATTGCTGGATTGCATAAGAAAAAAAATAGTGATACAGTCCTCAAAATGTATCATTTTGATAATGTTGGAAATGGAAAAATTTAAATTCAGAATGTATTAATTTTTGTCACCTGCTTCTTAAATCCTACCGTTCTTCAAAATAACAGAATAACATGGAACTGGATATTACAGAAAGCCACAAAAAATTCCTAGGGGCATGCCCAGTAAGAGGAAGTGTTTTTTTTTTTTTTTTTTTTAATATATCTTATTGGAGCTATTACATGGTTTTGTTATTGAAAGCTTATTTAAGACACATTTGGAAGTTACTTTAAAGATCCTCTGGGAACTGCTGGTATTACTTGGTTAATCTAGAAATTTTTATTTTATCTTTAAGGTCAATAAACAGAAATAAGGAAGAAGGAGCATCTACCCACCATGCATTCATCCAATCTTTCTTTCAGAAGACATTACTGAACATCTACTCTCTTCAAAGTAGAGGACTAGGCACTAAACGTTTTTCTAATAATTTACATATATTTCTTCATCTGAAATTCCCTTTAAGTCTCTCAATAAGATGTTAAGTTAGAGCAAATAGAGTATCATTCACACATTCAAGTTTCCTAAAATAAAATATAATAATAAAAACTTTATTTTTGTCTTTGCAAGTTGGTTCAAGACAAAACTAAGTAGATCACAGTGACTGAAACAAAAACAGAGGTATATACATAAACTCTGTTTCTGATCCTGTAAGTATCCTGGCTGGTCCCTCCAGTCGGTATTTATATCTTTTTTGATAGAAGTAATGTCTAGGCAACTGCAGGTAATTCACCAAGTAGATAACCTTCTCTGAAGTTTATTGATTCAATTGGAGAAGAATAATGTTGGGCGGGGCCAGAGATGACCAAAGGCAAATTATAAATTAATGAGATTGCACTGCATTCTGCTTTATGATTTCCCTTCTGAACCTCAAGAACTCTTATGTGACTCTCCAGATGCCCTGGACTCCCAACAGTTCTCAAACATCGACTTGTAGCATTGACTTTCCCTGGCTTAGAAGAGAATGTGAACAAAGCCAAAGTTTTATAAAAAGGGAGATAATCAAAAGAATTAAGGACATTCTTCTGAGTGAAAGGTGTCTTTCTGAGCTACTGATTAATATAAAAGATTCAAAGATTTATTTTTCATTAACAGCCTTGAGGGGAGAAACTCAGCGACTTTGTTAAAAACTTCTCTTTGGCTTAAAATCTTGCAGGACAATAAAATGAGAATGGTTGTCTACAAATATAGCAACTACAAGGTCTAAATCAGTCTTTACTGATTGTTAAATGATGATTATAGTAACAGTAGTATATGTTTCCTATTCTTCATCAGCTTTAAAAAAAACTTTTCCTTCCCTTCAGTACTTTTTGTTCTATGAAGGATTTCTATTACAGATGTATGAGAGAGTGAGAATGATGGGTGTGGTAATGTCTGCTATTTTCCAGTTTGAATAAAGCTCCCTGTGCAGAATGACAAAGTAATCGAATACAAAAAATAAATCGCTTTACAGCACTCGATCCAATTATTTTAGTTTAAAAATTGAGTTAAGGCCGGGCGCGGTGGCTCACGCCTGTAATCCTAGCTCTCTGGGAGGCCAAGGCGGGTGGATTGTTTGAGCTCAGGAGTTCGAGAGCAGCCTGAGCAAGAGTGAGACCCTGTCTCTACTAAAATTAGAAAGAAATTAATCAGCCAACTAAAAATATATAGAAAAAATTAGCCGGGCATGGTGGTGCATGCCTGTAGTCCCAGCTACTCGGGAGGCTGCAGCAGTAGGATCACTTCAGCCCAGGAGTTTGAGGTTGCTGTGAGCTAGGCTGACGCCACGGCACTCGCTCTAGCCAGGGCAACAGACTGAGACTCTGTCTCAAAAAAAAAAAAAAAAAAAAATGAGTTAAAGTCAGACCCAGAATTAAGCAGTTTGGTTTTCAGTTGTTAGTACTTCAGGCTTGTAATTATTGATTGTTCAACTAGACTGTAAGATATTTGAAGGTATGGACTCTACACATTTATAGATGATTGGTCTTAGGACTTAGCAAATTTTTAAGAGGGAAATTAGCAAAAATGTAGAGTAACTTTTTAAAAATGTCTAATATGTAACAGGCATCATACTAGACAAATGCTTTGCAACCACATCTCCTTTAATCCTTTCAGCATCAGTGCAACAATGGTGTTGTTATAGCCACTGTTTCTGATAATACATTAATGCCTCCAACACTAGTTTAGTGGCTAGTGCATAGTGATAATTTCATAAATCAGAATGTATCAGTCAAGTTTTCTTACTGTCAAGAATTGTAAAATAGCTCTTGCTAATTTAAGCATAAAAGAGATATACTAAAGGATATCAATTAGCACACAAAATCTTCCCCAGAATAGGGTAGAAAGCTAGGTTTGGAAGACTCACAGTGAGGACTAACATCCCAAATCATGCCCCAAATCTGATTCCCTGAAGACACACTGACACACCTGCTAGGCACACACATCAACATTTGTACTTCCGGTGCCAACAACACAGGGCACTGAACCTGTGGCTGGAATTGCTACCAGTGGAAATTGGGTGGAGCTATTATCACCACTGCCCCATTGTCACTGTTTTTTGTGTTATCAAATTCTGAAGTCAAAGTCTAGTATGGTGTGTTGATTGGAGGAGTCTATAGACTGGTGTCCAAACCAGGGAACTGTTGAGAGTAAAAAAGTCACTATTAAGAATTATTCCAAGATAGCAAGCCCAAAATAGAACATATGAGCACCCTCCATTAATTCTGTGCCCTTGCTGCAAAGAGATCTTGGAAAGTACATTTTCAGCTTCTATAATAAAATGTGGTCTTGGCCTCTCATCGTACTTGCAGTATAGGGAATTACCTGAATGTCAGAAGAGGTTATAAGGCTGGGTGGTCCAAAGAGAAGAACAAATGTCCACTACTGAGTGAAGAACTGAATTTTAAATAACCTGTAACACAATTAATAAGGTCTGTCTCATGATAAAGTGCTCTTCCTTTCCATTATACCATGCTTTGCATACTGTAGTATAGCAATTCTCAGCTGAGGGTATACATCAGAACTTCCTAAACAGTATTTTAAACACATAGATTGCAGGGCCTCACTCTAACCTACTGAACCAAAATCTCTGAGAATGGTGCTCTGACCAGAATCTGTAATTTTAATGTGCTTCAGAGAAAAAAAATCAATTTGAAAGGAGATACTCGTGGAAATAAGGCCACAAGTACCTTTTGGATGGTTATTAGTTTCCTGAGCTATTCCATTTTTTGCAAGGTAGACTTGATTAGACGCATTCCATAGAATTTATAGGAGCTAGAAGAAAATCTGTTTAATATGGTAATAGGCAATAAAATAGAACTATAACTTTTTTAATTGGTTGCACTTAATTTCCCCTATTATTATCATTAATTGGCAATCTTCAGGTATCTCTCAGGCACTTAGAAATGTCCATGGCACTACGCATACGAAGGCTGAGAAACAGAAGATTCCAGAGAACATGTCTTTTTTTTTCTTGCTGTTGACAGTGAATGCTCAGGATAATGAAGACCATGTCCCGCTGCATTTCTGTTCTCGATTTGGACACCACGATATTGTGAAGTACCTGCTTCAAAGTGATTTGGAAGTTCAGCCCCATGTTGTTAATATCTATGGAGACACCCCTTTGCACCTGTGAGTATTACATAGGGTTCCATAGGTCCTCCAGGTACACTGCATGTACTCTCTTACTATTATCAAAATATTTTCTTCAAATCTAGGGCGTGCTACAATGGCAAATTTGAAGTTGCCAAGGAAATCATCCAAATATCAGGAACAGAAAGTCTGACTAAGGAAAACATCTTCAGTGAAACAGCTTTTCACAGGTAAAAGAATATTTAAGTGCAATAGCCACTAACTTAGCTGACACCCTACAGCACCTGAAGTTGTGTACATAAAGCAAGAACAAATAGTGGCAAATGTTGCAATCAGAGACCGATAGCAGAGGTAGAGCAGAGGACAAGGAGCCCAAGCTAGATGCACAGAAGAAAAGGTGAAGGCAGATGCTGCAGTCAGTACAACAGATGGGGCTGAAGCCAGATGCTGCATTCCTGGCAGCAGCCACAAAGACAGGGACGGATGTTGCCACGGCAACAGGCATATCAACATCTGTAAGCATATTGCTTCTATTCCTCTTCACTCTGTGGAAAGCTGCCAAAAAGGGCTGTGCCCATAATCCTCCTCCGACAAGAATCTCATTACCAGAATTCATCAGCATCAAATGTGACACTTTTTCCTTACCACTTAAACCTTGTGTGCAAATGTGTCTACCTATCTAAGACATCCATCTGTCAGCCTGTAAAAGCCTAGTCAGTGTGGCCACTCAGATACCTAAGAAGGCATTAGCTCTTTTCTAGGAATCCATGAGAGCCCTTTACAGTGTGCTCTAGAGAAACACATTGAAGGAGCAGCTGGAATTAGAAAAGTTGCAATAAAAAAAAAAGAGATAAAGAAGGAAAGAAAATGTTGCTAATAACTCAGAGCCATAGTTTCCTAAAATGTGCAAAAGGAAGGTGGATGTTTTATAAAATTTAAAGTCTTCATTTTTAATGAGTTACTGTTTTCCTATAAATGTAAATCAGTCATTTAAATTTAGTAAATCTTGAATATAAGATGATTTACCTATATATTACATATTTCTTGGCTACTTTGCAACCTCTAAAAATGTATTTGAGACTAATTTGTTATTTATATAATGTTTATATTGCACTGGTGAATAGTAGAAATGAGGAGACTCTTTTTCATACTGAACTAAAATTAAGCTTGTGCTTCTACATTAGGCATCAACCTGTCAAATTTCACATGAATTTCCAAATTTTTCTTATCGACCAAAGAGGTCAGCCAAAAAGGAGGTGAAGAAAAACCATCATTTATGGAGTGGTGACTAATGCCAGTTGATTTGCATTCATTATCTCATTTAATCCTCATAACCATTTTATGAAGTTGGATTTATTATCTCTCTTTTACAGATGAGAAAGTTGAGACTCAGGGTAGTCAAGGAACTTGCCAAAGTTACTTATGGCTAGAAAATAATGTAGTAAATAAATGCCTGCCTAATTCCAAATCCTGTGCTGTTTACATATCTTCATGTTCTAGTAGCAAAATATTTTGCCTGTTTTCTACACACTCGGTAACAGAACAGAAGCAGGAACTCTTCAGATCATACCTTCAGTCAAAATGGATCAGTGGAATCTGTCCCTGAAGGGGCCATTGGCAGAACCGATATGTACTGGTTACTGATATTCTCTTTCTTCATTAGGTCATGCCTGTTAAGGCTGACACCTCGGGCTAGTTTTTAAATCATTTTGCTACTTTGTGCATTAAAATTGGAACCAACTGTAATCAGAAGGTGACTGTCACCTCCAGAAGTTGTCTAGATGAGAAATTTTATAAAATGAGTTAAAAGTATATACTCAATTGTTTTATAATATTTTGTGTAAGCCTGTGGCTACTAGGAATAACAGATTAATATTTTTTGTTCTATTCATTTTAAGCACATATTTATAAAAGAAACTCCTTTTACATGAGGAATTCACTCTGAATACAAATTTTTGTATGTACAAATCACAGTGCTTCGCACAGTAAGCATTCAATGCATTTCTGTTATTGTTTTCATATGTATGTACACATACATACATACACATGTATATATTTGCAGACATATATTAATATGACATGCACATGTGCATGTATATATAAATGCATACATATATGTACACATATATTATGTATATATTCCAAACTCGTTATTTTCTATAGTAGTTGCTTTGAAAATAAACAATGAACAATTCAGACAATGGAATATTAAATGTGTACTGTTAACGGGTCTTATCTATAATGCAAATAATTAATGGTGATATAATACATTGTACTGAGATGGTAGCTTTTTACTCACTTGATTATTCAAGAAAAGAATTATTAAAGGACTGCCTTGTGTTGGTGCTGGTAGGGACATTAGGATGACAGGATCCTTTCTGTCTTTAAAGGAGCTCTGTGTAGGGTAACAGGGTAAACAGAGGTGTTTTCATTACCATAACACCATGTGATAAGAGCCATAAAATTGAAATGATAAGGAACCAAAGGAGACAGCAATGAATTCTGCCTTTGGCTCATGAGAATGCTTCACAGAGGGAGTAATTGTTCAGCTGGAAGAAGAATGAATGATATTTCATTAAAGAAAAATGACTTGGGCAAGGCCATCCCAGGAAGAGGAAATGGTAATAATATCCAGTAAATTTCCTCTTTCTTCTAGAGCCAAGTTGCTGTGCCCTTCCTTTAGGCCTGATCTAGATGGGGCTTTGCCTGGTGCTAGCTCCTTCCAGTCTCCCAGTACATACCTTGTAGCTCTCTGGGATTTGGAAGTAGAGTGTTGCTTGTGATCAAGTGATGGCAAAAGTAGAGGCATTTATTATGAAACTACAGAAAGAGAAAATTGATGAGACTTACCAGTCAAAATATTAAATCCAGTAGTCATTGCTAGGCATGATTTATCTTATATAAAATCTTTTTTCTAGGCATCTTAGCTTTACTAATAAACAGTAGAAATCGGAATTTCAATTAAGTACTTCATCGAATCTAGTTGTAAAATTTATCTATAAAAGTCTCATTTTCTTTGGTTCTTGGAATATGTTAATTTTTCCACAAAAACTTTCTCATAACTGGAAAGAGCTGATAATGAACAGTCCTCTACAGCTTGTGATATGATTCTATAAGCATTATTTCACTTGAAATTTCAGCAACAATTTGACAAATAGAGAAAATATCATCTATTATTATTTTATAGATAGTAAAACTAAAACTCAAAGAGGCCAAATAACTTGTCTAAGTTCCTCTGGCTAGTGTATAGCAGAGCTCCGGCTTTTGAGTCTACAACAAATGCTCCCTTAGTAAAATGATAGCTTTGAGATGTTATTTCTGGTCAAGGAAGTCTCTGGAGAGACAGTGGATGGTTTTTCCAGGGAATAATTTCAGACTGCATTCTGAATTTGACTAAAAATCCAGTAGCCTCCTGGATTCCTCATTCAATTGTTCTGCAGAATCATTCTTAGGTCCCACAGCTAAAAATGCGTGGAGCTCTTACAATACAATATCTTTCCTCTTTTTATAATAAAGAACTGAAATCATAGGAAATACTTGACAAGAAAACACTAGAGATTTTACATCACCTTTCTTGAAGGTCTAGATGTGAGAATCTTTAGGATTTTATCACTGTATGTACACATTTTTATTCACACTTGATGTTCAGTGCTTGCTTGGATTTTATTACCTCCTTCTTCTCTCTCCTTCCTTCCTTCTTCCTTCTTTGTCTTGTTGGCACTCCTACATACACATGAGCAACTAAAATAGCCTGGCTTAATCAGCATTGTGTTCGTTTGCTAGGACTGCCATAAACAAAGTACCACAGATTGGGTGGCTTAAACAACAGAAATTTGTCATCTCACAGTTTTGGAAGTTAGAAGACCAATATCAAGGAGTCAGCAGGTTTGGTTTATTCTGAGGTCCCCCCTTGGCTTGAAGATGGCCACCTAGCTGTGTCCTCACATGGTTGTCCCTCTCTCTGTGTCATATGCCCTAATCCCCTCTTCTTATAAGGACACCAGTCATATTGGATTAGAGCTCGCCCTAATGATCCTATTTTAACTTAATTATCTCTTTAAAGACACTATCTCTAAATACAGTCACATTGTGAAGTTATGGGGGTTAGGGCTTCAACATATGAATTTCAGGGGTAGGGCACAATTTAGCCTATAACAAGGGCCTTCTATTTTCCTTATTTTGTGTTTTTGCAGTGCATGTACCTATGGAAAGAATATTGACCTAGTTAAATTTCTTCTTGATCAGAATGTCATAAACATCAACCACCAAGGAAGGGACGGGCACACAGGTAAGACTGTGGTGAGAACATTGCTAGTTCCAGATGTTTATCAATCAATGCTCAAGCATTGTGGTGTGCCAAGGGATAAGGGGACATTGGGAGGGGTCAACCTCAATGGGGAGAGGTGTTTTATCATCTGGCATCATTTAGAATTGATGGTGACTGGTGACAATATTTAATGAAAAGCAGACTGACTTTTGGTCAATTTCATTATTATGCTAAATTATCTACAGGCAGTCACCCACCTATAGCCCACTCCAAGGACAGACTGCCCACACCACCTTACCCTTGGTTTGGTGGTCAAGAAAAATACCTGCTTGGGGTCTTTGTTCTTTTACTTGTGTAAAGATGCTAACATTTTTTTTCTAGGTGATTACAGTAGATGTAGAAATATCAGAAATTGTACTGAGCAAAAGTCAGTTTATATAGAAGATTGAGTAGAATAAAATATGTCTTTTGCTTAAAGTATTGTCTTCTTTGCTCAATAATAAAATTAATTCTTCATCAAAGAAATCAATCATTACTTCATATCTCTGGAAACCATGCTATTATGTGGTGATAAGTATATTTTGAAAATTGGGGTGCAATTTTCTTTTGTTCTTATTTCATTCTTTCAATTCTTTTCTATTACAGGATTACACTCTGCTTGCTACCATGGTCACATTCGCCTGGTTCAGTTCTTATTGGATAATGGAGCTGATATGAATCTAGTAGCTTGTGATCCCAGCAGGTCTAGTGGTGAAAAAGATGAGCAGACATGTTTGATGTGGGCTTATGAAAAAGGTGTGTTTTTAATCATGCATCTCTATAGTAATACTGTGTGCATAGATTATATCAATGCATCAATAATTTCTTTGCTTGTATGACTTGTACACTCTCATTTCTTCTGTAGATTTTATTTGAGTCTCTGGGGTCTTGGATCAAAGAGTCCAATAGACCATCATTACAGAAGGCAACTTCTGAGCTGCAGATGAGCTGAAGGCATTCTCAATATTTGTACTTTTAAAAGGAATGGTCATATTTCTAAATACTGGACAAACAAAATTTTGATATGTAATGATAGTACAGTGGACTTACAGCTAGTTATTATATCTTAAATAGGGCTATTTTGATGAGTTTTTGAATTTTTAAAAAGGGGATTAAGAACAAGGGGAAAAAAGGAACATTTGTCAGATCTAACCCTGATGACAACACCTGTGCTAGAAAAATGTGAGGGAGCCAATGATTAGTGCTTAAAAATAAACTTACTTAAGCTCAAAGCGGTGAGAGCTTAGACTCTGGTGTGAGAATACCTGGGTTTACGTCAGCCATGTTCTTTGACCTTGTGCAAGTTATTTAACCTTGCTGAGCTCCACTGTTCTCATCTGAAAAATAAGGATAGCAGAAACTTCTAGTTCACAAGGGTGTAAAGATAAATGAGATAATATGTGCAAATTGCTTAGAAGACTGGCTGGCATGAATTAAATAACAAATAATTGATATTTTAGGTGATATGGAACAGCGTATATTGTCATTGAAATTATAGAGTTATAACTGAATACTGTAAAATATACAAGACTTTAAAGAAACGTTTTGTCATTTTAACTTTCGATGACTGCATTGTCTTTTTAAAATGTTTAAGTATGTAAAGAAATATAGTTATCTTTTTGAATGCTAGAATCCTAAAAGATCATCCTGAAAAAGGCAATTACTAAGCTATAAGATTTCTCAGCCTACCAAGCTCATTTATTAATAAAAAGTTTTCTGCCTAAAGTGGGAAATGAAAGTCCATCAATGAAAGGAGAGATGGAGTCTGATGAATGGAAATAGAGAGCTGTTGTAGGCATATAGTAAGCAAACAGACAAGAAGAAGGAAAAACGTATAAGTCTGAAGACTACTAGTGAAAAAATGATATAGGAGTTACTTTTAAAAAGTGAAGAGACATGGAATATTAGATAATGAGTTGGATGTAGGCTTGCTATCTTTTTTACTTTTTATTTGAGTATTGTATACATACACCTTTGCACATATTATACATGTACAGCTCAATGAATTTTCACAAACTGAACTCACCCAGCACCCACATGAGGAAGCCAAACATGACTAGCACCCTAGAAATCCCATTTCCACTATCTTCAAATCACTCCCCCAAGGAGGGTATTACTGTCTTCTTATAGCATAGTTAGTTTTGCCTCTATCTGCACTTTATATAAATGGAATGTTATGGTATGTACTTCTTTGTGTCTGGCTTTTATTAGCCAGCAACTTATCAGATCCATCCATATCATTGTAGACAGTTGTAGATTCTTCATTCTTATTGTCATATAATGTTATGTGACTGTATCATAATTTACTTATTAATTCTTTTGTTCATGGGCATTTGTATAATTTTCAACTAGGGGATATTAAGAATACTGTGCCATGAACATTCACATACACAAGTGCATGTTTTTAATTGTTGCATTTCTGTTTGGCATAAAAGCCCTGTATTTTGTATTTTAAAAAATGTAGGGCCGGGCGCGGTGGCTCACGCCTGTAATCCTAGCTCTCTGGGAGGCCGAGGCAGGCGGATTGTTTGAGCTCAGGAGTTCGAAACCAGCCTGAGCAAGAGTGAGACCCTGTCTCTACTAAAATTAGAAAGAAATTAATTGGACAACTAAAAATATATAGAAAAAAATAGCCGGGCATGGTGGTGCATGCCTGTAGTCCCAGCTACTCGGGAGGCTGAGGCAGGAGGATCGCTTGAGCCCAGGAGTTTGAGGTTGCTGTGAGCTAGGATGACGCCACGGCACTCTAGCCTGGGCAACACAGTGAGACTCTGTCTCAAAAAAAAAAAAAAAAAATGTAGGTAACTCTATATTTGAGAAATATAGTTGGGAAATCTTATGTAATTCTGAAGTCTCGGGGAGGCCATCCTAAATTCTAGCTGCTCAACACATTACATTTATTCAAATGATTTTCAGACAGTGTCTCTTAAGAAATATGTTTCAGAGTAAGACTATTTACAAAGTATTAGTCTTCCAGAAGGCAACTCAGAAATTGCCGCTACAGCTATCTCTTCACAGGGGTTGGCTTTGTTTGTTTTTAGTTGATTGAGAGTGATAGTTGAAAACTGGCTTTACCTTTATGCTTTGTGGATTTCCACACTTTCATGAAACAATGTATCATCATGTTAGCTCCCAAGATTTCCAACCAAATGACAAAAAAAATCTTTCAGCTTAGAGGAATTGCCCACTGGCCTCTGCAACATATGCTGTATTTGTCAGCCTTATTTGTTCAAACTAATGTGCCAAGCATCAGTGTTGCACTCTATTATTACTATGAATTTTAACAAATTGAATGTTAGTACCCAGGAGACAGATGGATGTTTTGCATATGTTCTGGGGCAAAGAAAATCAAACAAAAAATGAAATTGTTGGTATTTTCTCTTGCTAGAGAAATGTTACATTGTCTTCATATGTTCAGAGAGTACGAAAGTGGCCTGTAATAAAGAATTGCTTCCCTTTTTCCCTGGAACTGGGAATCACCAAATTAATTGATATGGCATACTAAGAGTTTTCCTGAGCAATTTGGAGATGAAGTTGAGGAAGCACTAAAACTCCACTTGGAGCTCCCTCTTTATAGAAGAGATAATGTAAGAATAGCCCCACCACAATTTATCATGTACCCTATCCTATCCTGAGAGAGAGAAACTGGAAGTGAGCTTCACAACCAGGATCTGCCTGTTCGAGTAGGAGTATATCTGCCCAACTCGAATAGCTCATCCTAGTTTAGTCTCTTAACAGAGAACCGTGGAGTCTCTCAACAGCACCTGTGTTTGAATGGTTCTAGACCAAATTTCTCACCTGACTCAAACTAAATTTTAGCTGACCTTCTTTCTGCTTTATGATAGCATTGAGGGGTGTTTTGGAGTTCTGGAAGAGTTATCTACTCTCTTTTGGAATACTTTCAGAAAAAGAGTTTACTCACCATGGCTCCTGGTGGGATCAGATATGCAGAATACTTGTTATTTGCATAGCCCTTTGAACCTAAAGAGGTCAAAATCAATCTTAGAAATAGTTTTCCTGGTGACCCTGATTGCACACAGAAACCTTAAGTTTCAAAATTTTTCTGCCAGACTGCTTAGAGCTCCAATTTTACAGTATTTAGAGTGTTTCTCCTCCCCAAGTCTCACCACCCCCCTTCTTTTCTACTATTCCATCTGAAAGTGTAGCGATAGCTGTCTCACTCATTTGGATTTGTTCTGCCCTTTCCCTGTGGTACAAAGGACTTGTATGAATCAATTTAAATTGGCCAGAAAAAATAGCCAGCAGCCTGCTTATGTTCAAATCCTCTGCCCTAATCACCAGTATGGAAAACCCATTGAAAAGACCTGCACATAATCTTACATCCATTGCATTAAAGATGAAACTGCCAAATTGAAAAGATTTCAGCCAATTAGAATTGAACACATAGCTCAATAGTGTGTCTGGCAGTTAGATTTGAAAAGGCTGCCTTTGACAAAGAAAAGCACTCCTTTATGTCAGGCTGTGTAGGGTCAGAAAATAACCAAAACTAGAAACAGAACTAAAAACTTCTTGTTTGCTTCAGTACTGATGCCAGTTAAAGTAATTTACAGAGGCTCCTATCCCAATATCTAATTACCCAGAATACAATATTTGTATACAGCAGACGCACTCTAATTCACAGTGACAGGGAGCTGGAGTTGGAGAATTAGTGAGTAAGTGAGCAAAAACAATAAAAATCGAGGTTCCTGTACCATGATATATACTTTGTTCATTCCTTTTGACAAGTGTAGTATGGTGTGAATTATTTGTAGTAAATGTACTATAGTGTATTTTCTAAAAGTAATGAAGTCTTATGTTTGTGAGTTTCTGCAGTTTTTAGCCAGTAAAAACTAACTAAGAGATGAGGGTGGGTGAGGAGTAAAGGTAATAAGAGGTGGATTCACTAAATTATTTGTTAAATTTTCACCAATGGATCATAAGCTCTCAGGCTTCTTCTACATTAAATTCTTACCTCTTTGGAGTTTAGTTACTTAGTTTAGTAAACCTAGTTTAGTGTGCTAGAGTGGATTGTGGGTGGAGTTGAGGAAGAGTTAAACAAAAGATTTAGATCATAGTTCAAAATCCATATGTGATTTTTTTTGGTATACTGGTCACATTTCTACATGTTTAGATTCTCTCTTTAAAAAATAAGTAAAATAACTCTACTTATCATTAGAATGGGAAGAACTTTTTTTGGGAGATGTCACAAAAATATTTTTGAAATATAGTAACTATGCAAGAATCTGCATAGTTAAAATGGTTAGTAGAAGAGAGCTTACATTCACCAAGCACCTATCACATATGCATATATACATAATTTAATTATCAAAATAACCCTTTAAATTGGTATTGTCTTTGTTTTATAAATAAGGAGTTTGAGACTTAGAGCTATTAAGTCATACTTGCCCAACCTGCACAGCTGTTAAGTAGAGAGCTGGTACCAAATAGAGAGCTATCTTACTGAAGAGTTCAAGCTCTTAACCAACACACTGCAAAATCAGATCTAAGCCAAAATTCCATCCTTATTAACTTAATGAATTTCAGCAAGTTATTTAACCTCTCTAAGCCTTTATTCTTAAATTTAAAATAAAGAAATTAATATCCACTTTACAGAATTCTGATGAGAGTTAAGGATAAGAGGATAATGCCTGGCATATAACAGATTCTCAATAAAAATGGTGGTAGCTGTTATTGGTAAATTCAGAGAGGAGATTTAGTGGAATCTATGTGACTCCTAAATCCCATGGTCTTTCCTA